TTGTTGCCACACTTGTTGTTGCTGTTGTTGTTGTTGTGTGTTGTTGTTGTTGCTGTGTGTTTAATTGTTGTTGTTGTTGCTGCCTGTTGTTGTTGTTGTTGCTGTTGTTGCTGCCTTGTTGTTGTTGTAATGTTGTTGTTGTTGTTGCCTCACTTGTTGTTGTGTTGTTGTTGTTGTTGTTGTTGTTGTTTAATGTTGCTGTTGTTGTTGTTGTTGTTGTTGTTGTTGCTGTTGTTGTTGCCTCACTCAGTGTTGTGTTGTTGTTGTTGCTGCCTGTTGTTGTTAATGTTGCTGTTGTTGCTGTTGTCAGTGTTTGTTGTTGCTGTTGTTGCTGCTGTTGTTGTGTTGTGTTGTTGTTGCCACACTGTTGTTGTTGTTGTGTGCCTCACTCAGTGTTGTTGTTGCTGTTGTTGTTGCTGCCTCACTGTTGTGTTGTGTTGCTGTTGTTGCTGTTGTTGTGTTGTTGTTGCTGTTGTTGTTGTTGCTGCCTCACTGTGTTGTTGTTGTTGCTGTTGTTGTTGTTGTTGTTGTGTTGCTGTTGTTGTTGCTGTTGTGTTGTTGTTGCAGTTGTTGTGTTGTTGTTGTTGCTGTTGTGTTGTGTTGTTGCTGCTGTTGTGTGCTGCTGTTGTTGCTGTTGTTGTTGTGCAGTTGTGTTGTTGTTGTTAATGTTGTTGCTGCCACACTCAGTGTTGTTGCTGTTGTTGCTGCTGTTGTTGTTGTTGCTGTTGTTGTTGTTGTTGCCTCACTGTTGTTGCTGTTGTTGCTGCCTCACTTGTTGTTAATGTTGCTGTTGTTGCTGCTGCACTCAGTTGTTGTTGTTGTTGTTGTTGTTGTTGCTGCTGTTGTTGCTGTTGTTGTTGTTGTTGCTGTTGTTGTTGTTGTTGCTGTTGTTGTTGCCACACTCAGTGTTGTTGTTGTTGTTGCTGCCACACTGTTGTTGTTGCTGTTGTTGCTGCCACACTCAGTGTTAATGTTGCTGTTGTTGTTGCTGCTGTTGTTGTTGTTGTTGCTGTTGCTGTTGTTAATGTGCTGTTGTTGCTGCCTGTTGTTGTTGTTGCTGTTGTTGCTGCCACACTCAGTGTTAATGTTGCTGTTGTTGCTGCCTTGCAGTGTTAATGTTGCTGTTGTTGTTGCCTCACTCAGTGTTAATGTTGCTGTTGTTGTTGCCTGTTCAGTGTTGTTGTTGTTGTTGTTGTTGCTGCTGTGTTAATGTTGCTGTTGTTGCTGCCTGTCAGTGTTGTTGTTGTTGTTGTTGTGCTGTTGTTGTTGTTGTTGTTGTTGTTGTTGCTGCCACACTCAGTGTGTTGCTGTTGTTGTTGTTGTGTTGTTGTTGTTGCTGTCAGTGTTAATGTTGCTGTTGTTGCTGCCTGTTTAATGTTGTTGTTGTTGCCTCACTCAGTGTTGTTGTTGTTGTTGCTGTGTGTTAATGTTGTTGTTGCCACACTGTGTTAATGTTGTTGTTGTTGTTGCCTGTCAGTGTTGTTGTTGCTGTTGTTGTTGTTGTTGTTGTTGTTGTTGTTGTTGCTGTTGTTGTTGTTGCTGTTGTGTTAATGTTGCTGTTGTTGCTGCTGTCAGTGTTGTTGTTGTTGTTGTTGTTGTTGCTGTTGTTGTTGTTGTTGTTGTTGTTGTTGTTGTTGCTGTTGTTGCTGCCTCACTGTTGTTGTTGTTGTTGTTGTTGCTGTTGTTGTTGCTGCCTGTTGTTTGTTGTTGTTGCTGCTGTTGTTGTTGCTGTTGCTGTTGTTGCCTCTGTTGTTGTTGTTGCTGCTGTGTTAATGTTGTGTTGTTGTTGTGTTGTTGTTGTTGCTGCTGTTGTTGCTGTTGTTGTTACTCAGTGTTGTTGCTGTTGTTGCTGCCTCACTCAGTGTTGTTGTTGCTGTTGTTGCTGCCACACTCAGTGTTGCTGTTGCTGTTGTTGCTGCCTCACTCAGTGTTGTTGTTGCTGTTGTTGCTGCCTCACTTGTTGTTGTTGCTGTTGTTGCTGCCACACTCAGTGTTAATGTTGCTGTTGTTGCTGCCACACTCAGTGTTAATGTTGCTGTTGTTGTTGTTGTTGCTGTTGTTGTTGTTGTTGCTGTTGTTGCTGCCTGTTCAGTGTTGTTGTTGCTGTTGTTGCTGCCACACTCAGTGTTGTTGTTGCTGTTGTTGCTGCCACACTGTTGTTGTTGTTGCTGTTGTTGCTGCCACACTCAGTGTTGCTGTTGCTGTTGTTGCTGCCTCACTCAGTGTTAATGTTGTTGTTGTTGTTGCCTCACTCAGTGTTGTGTGTTGTTGTTGTTGCTGTTGTTGCTGTTCAGTGTTGTTGTTGCTGTTGTTGCTGCCACACTGTTTGCTGTTGCTGTTGTTGCTGCTGTTGTTGTTGTTGCTGCCTCACTGTTGTGTTGCTGTTGTTGCTGCTGCACTCAGTGTTAATGTTGTTGTTGTTGCTGCCTTGTTGCAGTGTTAATGTTGCTGTTGTTGCTGCCACACTCAGTGTTTGTTGCTGTTGTTGTGCCTTGCTGTTGTTGTTGTTGCTGTTGTTGCTGCTGTTCAGTGTGTGTACTGCTGCCTCACTGTTGTTGCTGCTGCTGTTGTTGCTGCCTGTTCAGTGTTAATGTTGTTGTTGTTGCTGCTGTGTTGTTGTTGTTGCTTGTTGCTGCACTCAGTGTTAATGTTGCTGTTGTTGTGCCACACTCAGTGTTAATGTTGCTGTTGTTGCTGCCACACTGTGTTGTTGTTGCTGTTGTTGCTGCCTCACTCAGTGTTGTTGCTGTTGTTGCCTCACTGTTGTTAATGTTGCTGTTGTTGCTGCCTCACTCAGTGTTGTTGTTGCTGTTGTTGCTGCCTCACTCAGTGTTAATGTTGCTGTTGTTGCTGCCTGTGTTAATGTTGCTGTTGTTGCTGCCTGTTGTTGTTGTTGTGTTGCTGTTGTTGCTGTTGTTGTTGTTGTTGTTGCTGTTGTTGCTGCTGTTGTTGCTGCTGTTGTTGTTGTTGTTGCTGTTGTTGCTGCCTGTCAGTGTTAATGTTGCTGTTGTTGCTGCCACACTCAGTGTTAATGTTGCTGTTGTTGCTGCCACACTCAGTGTTAATGTTGCTGTTGTTGCTGCCACACTCAGTGTTAATGTTGCTGTTGTTGCTGCCTGTTGTTGCTGTTGTTGCTGTTGTTGTTGTTGCTGCCACACTCTGTTGTTGTGTTGTTGCTGTTGTTGTTGTTGTTGCTGCCACACTGTTGTTGCTGTTGTTGCTGCAGTGTTGTTGCTGTTGTTGCTGCCTCACTGTGTTGTTGTTGCTGTCAGTGTTAATGTTGTGTTGTTGCTGTTGTCAGTGTTGTTGTTGCTGTTGTTGCTGCCTCACTCAGTGTTGTTGTTGCTGTTGTTGTTGCCTGTCAGTGTTAATGTTGCTGTTGTTGCTGCCACACTCAGTGTTAATGTTGCTGTTGTTGCTGCCACACTCAGTGTTAATGTTGTTGTTGTTGCTGCACTCAGTGTTGTTGTTGCTGTTGTTGTGCCTGTCTGTGTTGTTGTTGCTGTTGTTGTTGCTGTTGTTGTTGCTGCTGTTGTTGTTGTTGTGTTGTTGTTGCTGTTGTTGTTGCTGCCTGTCAGTGTTACTGTTGTTGTTGTTGCTGCCACACTCAGTTGTTAATGTTGTGTTGTTGCTGCCGTTGCTGTTGTGTTGCTGTTGCTGTTGTTGTTGCCACACTCAGTGTTAATGTTGCTGTTGTTGCTGCCACACTGTTGTTGCTGTTGCTGTTGTTGTTGCCTGCTGTTGTTGTTGTTGCTGTTGTTGCTTCGTCGGAACAAGTTTGTCATAATTAGGCTGCTGCGTAAGCCAGAAGGCATGCGGGTGTACTGATAATGGCCATTAGGAACTGAAAACGCTGTCAGTTCTCGGCTTTCTGGGTCAAGTGGTATTTGCCCAAAAACCTTGCAATAGATCAAGAGTAGAAAAAACCTTATTCTGGCCAATGTTCTGCAATAAGTCAGTGACCACAGGAAGTGGAAACCTATCAGGTATCGTCACTTAGTTATGTTTTCTGAAATCAACGACGGGACGCCAAGAGCCATCCTTCTTGGGTACCAAGATCAATGGAGCATGTCATGGAGAGGTACTTTCTTCAATAACACCTCCGTGTAACATCTCGTCAATAAGTCGGTCTGCAACACATCAACAGAGAATGAGGCAATGTGTATGCAGGTACATACATTGGTCGAGTACTTGCTTCAAGAGTAGTTTTGTGAGTGATGAGGTGCGTCAGTCCGAGTTGTTCTCCTGTCAGTGCAACAACAGTGAGATGTTTGTTGAGGATGGTCAGCAACTGAGGTTGGGCGTCTAGGAAGTCAGTGGGACTAAGATGCTCAGATGAGACCGCTAACTGATTGAGTGATGGCTTTGTTTGGATGTGACTGGTAAAGTGTATCCTGGTCACTCCCAGCTTTTATGTAACTGATATAGTCCCTATGGTTGGCGTACTCGTGTCCCATGGCGTACACACCACAAGGAGGTACTACTGTATCACCAATTGTTGTTTCCCAACGGTAAGCATCGATAGTAATTCGGTAATCTCTCGTAGTGTTCAGTCCTAGTAAGATGTTTCCTGGGAACCGAGTATTATGTACTATTAAACATGTCACGGCGAGTGATCTGTCATTAACTATTAACTCTGTCAGCTTCATCCAACACTGCAGTTATTCCTTCAGAAACTCCACTAAGGTTGGGGACAGATGGCTGACGTTCAACAAGTCTGTCGTGTATGTCATGCAAGGCTGCTTGTTTGATGATGTTGACTCTAGCTCCTGTGTCTAGGAATATTTTAACTTGTTGACCTTTCAGAGTGGCTGAAATCAGAGGACCTTCTGTGTCCTTGTTAGGCATGTTATTACGAGACTGGTGTGGTCGACGTGGTGTCTGGAGCACATGACTGTGAGTACTGTCAGTGTGTGAGTGGTGTACGGTATCCTCCCCTGCTAATACATTAAACCTGTTATGGGTAGGCACTGAGTATGTAGGGAGGTCGTCTCGCATCCCTACGTCATGCTGTTTACGAAGCCTGCTGTGCCTTCCCCCGACTGGGAGCCACAGGTCTGGTCTGGGTGTCCGTAGGTCTGGTCTGTGTTATCCATGAAGGCCGTAGCGCCGTTTGTCATCCGCGAGTCACAGTGTCCGTCTGTGTCGTGACTGTCACTTGTCACGAACCTTAACATGGGCCGTAGGTTGGGTTGCAGGAGCACGTGTAGGGCTCGGTCGGCGCTGGTTAGGGGTTGCAGCATGTGGTTGGTTATGGGAAGGAGGAGCAGGGCTGTAGTGGTTAGCTTGGTGAGGAGGAGCAGGGCTGTAGTGGTTAGCTTGGTGAGGAGGAGCAGGGCTGTAGTGGTTAGCTTGGTGAGGAGGAGCAGGCCTGTAGTGGTTAGCTTGGTGAGGAGGAGCAGGGCTGTAGTGGTTAGCTTGGTGAGGAGGAGCAGGGCTGTAGTGGTTAGCTTGGTGAGGAGGAGCAGGGCTGTAGTGGTTAGCTTGGTGAGGAGGAGCAGGCCTGTAGTGGTTAGCTTGGTGAGGAGGAGCAGGGCTGTAGTGGTTAGCTTGGTGAGGAGGAGCAGGGCTGTAGTGGTTAGCTTGGTGAGGAGGAGCAGGGCTGTAGTGGTTAGCTTGGTGAGGAGGAGCAGGGCTGTAGTGGTTAGCTTGGTGAGGAGGAGCAGGGCTGTAGTGGTTAGCTTGGTGAGGAGGAGCAGGGCTGTAGTGGTTAGCTTGGTGAGGAGGAGCAGGGCTGTAGTGGTTAGCTTGGTGAGGAGGAGCAGGGCTGTAGTGGTTAGCTTGGTGAGGAGGAGCAGGGCTGTAGTGGTTAGCTTGGTTAGGAGGAGCAGGGCTGTAGTGGTTAGCTTGGTGAGGAGGAGCAGGGCTGTAGTGGTTAGCTTGGTGAGGAGGAGCAGGGCTGTAGTGGTTAGCTTGGTTAGGAGGAGCAGGGCTGTAGTGGTTAGCTTGGTTAGGAGGAGCAGGGCTGTAGTGGTTAGCTTGGTTAGTACCGCGGCGAGCACGACAGTCAACAGTGTCGTGACCAGGGAGCTGGTGGTAAGTGCAGAATGGTGCACGAGCAGCTCGGCAATCAGCCGTGTCATGTCCAGGTCTGCGGTGAAATGTGCAATAAGTATGGTTGTGATAGTTAGTATGGCCTGCATTGTTATGTCTGAGATGCTGGTGGTAATGAGTGTTGTCTGACGTGCACTCTGCCTTACGTGGCCTGGTTTGCCACAGTTAATGCATTCTGACGTTCGCGGGCGTGGAGGACACTGAGGAGAGCTAGTCCTGGAGCATGACCTGAGGCCATATGACGGTGGAGGAGACTTAGCATGAGTGTGAAAGTTACTAGGGAAAGAACGTGTGACAACGTTCACAGGGTTATGGGGACTGTTTGCACTAAAAACGGCGGAGTGTTGGGCTCTTTAGCCTTTCAGTGGAGTCACACCATCTCGTCCACTAATTCTCAAATTGTGTTGTCTGGATCAAAGTCCTTAGCTTCTATGTCCTTCAGTATGGCCTCGGGGGCATGACGCTGCATGGCACCACACGTCAGTTGTCTACACACATTGTCTATAGTCAGGCTCCCGCTATCCACTCATCTAGAACTCGTCATAGCTGATTTCAGCGTGGTTGTGATCAGCCACGATGAGCAATGATCATTGTGATCAGGTTGGGATATTTTGCTTGATTGTGATCAGCCCTGTCATGTCTGCTTGGTTGTGATCAGCCCTGTCATGTCTGCTTGGTTGTGATCAGCCCTGTCATGTCCGGAAGTGCCCGGTGTCTCCCGGAGTTGCCAGGTGTTGCCAGGTGCTGCCAGGTGTTGCCAGGTGTTGCCAGGTGCTGCCAGGTGTTGCCAGGTGCTGCAAGGTGTTGCCAGGTGTTGCCAGGTGCTGCCAGGTGCTGCCGGGTGTTGCCAGGTGTTGCCAGGTGCTGCAAGGTGTTGTCAGGTGTTGCCAGGTGTTGCAAGGTGTTGCCAGGTGTTGCCAGGTGTTGCCAGGTGCTGCAAGGTGTTGCCAAGGTGCTGCCAGGTGTTGCCAGGTGCTGCCAGGTGTTGCCAGGTGTTGCCAGGTGCTGCCAGGTGTTGCCAGGTGCTGCCGGGTGTTGCCGGGTGTTGCCAGGTGCTGCAAGGTGTTGCCAGGTGTTGCCAGGTGTTGCAAGGTGTTGCCAGGTGCTGCCAGGTGTTGCCAGGTGCTGCAAGGTGTTGCCAGGTGTTGCCAGGTGTTGGCAGGTGTTGCCCGGTGTTGCCAGGTGTTGCCAGGTGTTGCCAAGTGTTGCCGGGTGTTGCCAGGTGTTGCCAGGTGCTGCCAGGTGTTGTCAGGTGTTGCTGGGTGTTGCCAGGTGCTGCCAGGTGTTGCCAGGTGTTGCCAGGTGTTGTCAGGTGCTGCCAGGTGTTGCCAGGTGTTGCCAGGTGCTGCCAGGTGCTGCAAGGTGTTGCCAAGTGTTGCCGGGTGTTGCCAGGTGTTGCCAGGTGTTGCCAGGTGTTGCCAGGTGTTGCCAAGTGTTGCCGGGTGTTGCCAGGTGTTGCCAGGTGTTGCCAGGTGTTGCCAGGTGTTGCCAAGTGTTGCCAGGTGTTGCCAGGTGTTGCCAGGTGTTGCCGGGTGTTGCCGGGTGTTGCCAGGTGTTGCCAGGTGTTGCCAAGTGTTGCCAGGTGTTGCCAGGTGTTGCCAGGTGTTGCTCCATACCTGGATACAATAATCAAACTCATTTATGCAGGTGAATAAGTACCTTCCTGAAGGCTGAGTGGACAGCGCTCGGGGTTCGTAGTCCGAAGGTTACGGGTTCGATCCCGGCGGAGGCGGAAACAAGTGGACAGAGCGTCTTTCACCCTGATGCCTCTCTCCACCTAGCAGTAAATAGGTATCCGGAAGTTAGACAGCTGTTACGGACTGCTTCCTGTAGGTGTGTGTAACAAAAAGGAGGCCTTGCCGAGGACCGGGCCGCGGGGGCGCTAAGCCCCGAAATCATCTGAAAGATAGCCACAAGATAACCCTTCATTTCCTTAAAGTGTTGGGTGTTTACACTGGAGCACTGTTCACTGTTCAATGGGGCTAGTAAGTCAATTGTTCGTCCCAGGAGGGAGGATAGTTCCCTGCTTGAATGGCAGCCATATCCTCTACCATACTGTCCCTACACTTATCATGCCATTAGCATGGGGGGATGGTATGCTGAAGTTGTGCTTAAAATTATACATTCTTCCTAGAATACTTTACCAATAAATTTCAGTTCCATACTAGAAGTTTGTGTGGGGAGATTACAGTTACAACCCTGGCTACCACTCCACACACACACAACCCTGGCTACCACTCCACACACACACACCCCTGGCTACCACTCCACACACACACACAACCCTGGCTACCACTCCACACACACACACCCCTGGCTACCACTCCACACACACACACCCCTGGCTACCACTCCACACACACACACCCCTGGCTACCACTCCACACACACACACCCCTGGCTATCACTCCACACACACACAACCCTGGCTATCACTCCACACACACACACCCCTGGCTACCACTCCACACACACACACCCCTGGCTACCACTCCACACACACACACCCCTGGCTATCACTCCACACTCACACAACCCTGGCTACCACTCCACACACACACACCCCTGGCTATCACTCCACACACACACAACCCTGGCTATCACTCCACACACACACAACCCTGGCTACCACTCCACACACACACACCCCTGGCTACCACTCCACACACACACAACCCTGGCTATCACTCCACGCACACACACCCCTGGCTACCACTCCACACTCACACAACCCTGGCTACCACTCCACACACACACACCCCTGGCTACCACTCCACACTCACACAACCCTGGCTACCACTCCACACACACACACCCCTGGCTACCACTCCACACACACACACCCCTGGCTACCACTCCACACACACACACCCCTGGCTACCACTCCACACACACACACCCCTGGCTACCACTCCACACTCACACAACCCTGGCTACCACTCCACACACACACACCCCTGGCTACCACTCCACACACACACACCCCTGGCTACCACTCCACACACACACACCCCTGGCTACCACTCCACACACACACACCCCTGGCTACCACTCCACACACACACAACCCTGGCTATAACTCCACACTCACACAACCCTGGCTACCACTCCACACACACAACCCTGGCTACCACTCCACACACACACACACCCCTGGCTACCACTCCACACACACACACCCCTGGCTACCACTCCACACACACACACCCCTGGCTACCACTCCACACACACACACCCCTGGCTACCACTCCACACACACACACCCCTGGCTACCACTCCACACTCACACAACCCTGGCTATAACTCCACACTCACACAACCCTGGCTACCACTCCACACACACAACCCTGGCTACCACTCCACACACACACACACCCCTGGCTACCACTCCACACACACACACCCCTGGCTACCACTCCACACACACACACACCCCTGGCTATAACTCCACACTCACACAACCCTGGCTACCACTCCACACACACAACCCTGGCTACCACTCCACACACACACACACCCCTGGCTACCACTCCACACACACACAACCCTGGCTACCACTCCACACACACACACAACCCTGGCTACCACTCCACACACACACACAACCCTGGCTACCACTCCACACACACACACACCCCTGGCTACCACTCCACACACACACAACCCTGGCTACCACTCCACACACACACACCCCTGGCTACCACTCCACACACACACACCCCTGGCTACCACTCCACACACACACAACCCTGGCTATCACTCCACGCACACACACCCCTGGCTACCACTCCACACTCACACAACCCTGGCTACCACTCCACACACACACACCCCTGGCTACCACTCCACACTCACACAACCCTGGCTATCACTCCACACACACAACCCTGGCTATCACTCCACACACACAACCCTGGCTACCACTCCACACACACACAACCCTGGCTATCACTCCACACACACACACACCCCTGGCTACCACTCCACACACACACACCTCTGGCTACCACTCAACACACACACAACCCTGGCTACCACTCCACACACACACACCCCTGGCTACCACTCCACACACACACACAACCCTGGCTACCACTCCACACACACACACAACCCTGGCTACCACTCCACACACACACACCCCCTGGCTACCACTCCACACACACACAACCCTGGCTACCACTCCACACACACACACAACCCTGGCTACCACTCCACACACACACACAACCCTGGCTACCACTCCACACACACACACCCTGGCTACCACTCCACACACACACAACCCTGGCTACCACTCCACACACACACACACCCCTGGCTATCACTCCACACACACACAACCCTGGCTACCACTCCACACACACACACAACCCTGGCTACCACTCCACACACACACACACCCCTGGCTACCACTCCACACACACACACCCCTGGCTATCACTCCACACTCACACACAACCCTGGCTACCACTCCACACACACACACCTCTGGCTACCACTCCACACACACACACCCCTGGCTACCACTCCACACACACACAACCCTGGCTACCACTCCACACACACAACCCTGGCTACCACTCCACACACACACACCCCTGGCTATCACTCCACACTCACACACACCCTGGCTACCACTCCACACACACACACCTCTGGCTACCACTCCACACACACACACCCCTGGCTACCACTCCACACACACACACAACCCTGGCTATAACTCCACACACACACACCCCTGGCTACCACTCCACACACACAACCCTGGCTATCACTCCACACACACACACACCCCTGGCTACCACTCCACACACACACAACCCTGGCTACCACTCCACACACACACAACCCTGGCTACCACTCCACACACACACACTCCTGGCTACCACTCCACACACACAACCCTGGCTATCACTCCACACACACACACAACCCTGGCTACCACTCCACACACACAACCCTGGCTACCACTCCACACACACATAACCCTGGCTATCACTCCACACAAACACAACCCTGGCTATCACTCCACACACACAATCCTGGCTATCACTCCACACACACATAACCCTGGCTACCACTC